GCAGGAACACGACTCGGAACGAGCGGTAACCCGAAATTGAGGCCAGCGCATCAGCGACAGCAGCATTCCGAATCACGACTTAAGCGAAAACCCATTTCCGGGAAATCCTGTGTGAAAAAAACCAGTACGCTGAGAGGGGGCGGCCAGTTCCCGGACGCCACCAGGGGAGAGAGGAGAGTAGTATCCATATTGTTCAATTGTAGAGAGAAGTGCGAAGGAGGACAATGATGCGAAGGAGGAGGAGGAGGAGGAAGAGCTGGAGGGATCGAGGATGAGGGGGAGGCAGGAGGGGGAATCGAGGATCGAGTTTTTTGGGCGACTGGGGCCCTCGTCTGGTTTCTTGTGGCCTTCCAGAACGCTGTGGAGATCCCCCAGGACCCCCTGGAGGGAAGAGGGGACGGAGGCGGAGGGGCAGGGGGCATCTGAATGTTTCCGCTCCTTTTGGTAGGCCTCGCGATGGCCTTCGTGGCCACGACTGAAATTTTTTCGGAGTCGTCCTCCGAACGCGTTCCGGGACCGGTAGGACCTTCCATGTCGAGCGCAGGGGACCCAGGCGAGCGCCCCCCTCTCCTCATATTACTACTATGTGTCGTTATCCTCCTCCTCCTCCTCCTCCTCCCCCTCTTCCTCCTCCTCCTTTTTCATCGTGTTTCTCTTATGTTTTTTTATTCGCATTCGTATCATTATCCTTGTTCGAATTATTGTTCTCCTCATTGTTGTTTTCCTCCTCCTCCTCCTCATCATCATCATCATCATCCTCATCCTCATCCTCATCCTCCCCCTACTCGTCCTGTTCCTCTTCCTCGTCCTCTTCCTCCAGCTGCTTCAGCGGTTCTTCACACTCCCCAGACCGCAGCTCCTTAGTACAACGTTGCACACCGTCAGTGTGTTCAGCGGACCCGCCATGCCCGTGAAAGCGAAGACGGGCCCCTGTGCAAGGTGATGGCTCCTCGCCGTGTGCGCCGTCGTCGCCTTACTGCAGCTTGACGTGCTTGACGTCTTCTAAGGAGGCCCGCCCTCAAGCCGATTCGACCAGGGGCTTCACCATCAGGACCTGCGTCTAGAATCCGATGTACCTTACTGGGGTCACACGAACCGCGAAGGTACCGGCAGAATTCAACAGCATCGGGGCCATCATGCTGCCAGGTATTGCGAGGCGCCCGACCGAGGACCCACATGTTTTGTTCACCCTTCCGTACCTTTGGGAAGTCAGCCTTGTATGGGCTCGGGCATCGAACTCAAGTTGCGGCGTCTCGATCTTCCTCCACAAGAAGCGCTCCATTTGCAGTTTCATCCAGAACAGATTCCTCCCACCACCGTCTCTGAATTGCAGAAGGGGGAGCTGAACGTCTCAAGTCACAGCAGCCCGACATCCTCTTCCTGGGACTTCCGACGATGCCCTCCCAGAGATGTGGCCGATCACTTTGCTGCAAGACGGTCCAGGGGATGCGTTCGTGGGCGAAGAAGATTCTCAACAGCGCAGGTAACAGACGCACCCCTTTCGTCAAGATGGACCTAATTGACAGGCAATGTTTATTCTTCAGACGATACCTTCGATGGCGATGTCGCGGACGGTGCGGCCGCGGGTCCCGAGGCGCACGGGGCACGCTGGAGTTGGGATCTGGATCATCCACGTCGGATCACGCGGGCCCGAGCTTGAGGATCTCGCGGGAAAGCTTGGGCACCAGGTTTTGCAGGGCGCTTCTCTCTTCGCCGTCGGCGCCTTCTTCCCCGCGGGGCCGACTTTCCATTGGTTCCTTGGCCACTCATCCACGATCGATTTCTTGCGCGCGCCGGTCGCCCTCAGACCTCGCGCGCCGCCTTCGGGCGATTCGACCCGCGGGGCGCAGGCTTCGACCTGCGAGCGCGTTCGACGACAGGGGGCGCCGCCCAGCTTTCATGGAGCGTCGCCGCAGCTGCGAGGCTGGTTCTGGTGGCGCGGCAGGGCCAGGACCTGGGCGGGCCGACGCGCGCCCTTGGGGGAAGGGGGCGGGGCGCGCGCGAGCGGTCGAGAGCGTTCGCGGGGTGGCCCTCTCCATCCCCGAGGCGGAGCGCGCGCTCGCGTTCTCGCCCATGAGTTGCGGGGCGCCGTGGCAGATTTGACGAGAGGGGCGGCCGTGGCGGAGTTGCAGAAAACCGCACTACCTGAGATCGAGAAGTCGTTTTTTTGAGAAAAAAAGCAGCTGCCAGACGCTTTTTTTTCAGACGGCGTGATTCACGAGCAACGCGTCCGGCGAGGCCTTGCTGATCGCGCTGAAGGGGGAGTTGGAGCAAGCGCGCATTGCCTTTCGTCTTCGTCAGCTCGCAATGCAGATTACCAAGGACTGCGGCGCGGCGCTCGCGCGGGAACCGAACGCTGCACGGGCCGAGCACGACCGCTTCGCGGCGCAGACGCTGGCCAGGAGATTGGCCCGCAAGGGCCGAGGACCGCGCCGCCGCATGTATTCCGAGGCTCGGGAAGAGAACGGCGAGCCTCAGGGCATCGCAATCTTTTCGCGTCTGCCCGCTCAGCAGGGCGGCTTATCCGCGGCGGACAGCGACATCCAGCGGGGGCCTGGGAAGTTGTTTGTCAGGTTATTCATCGGGGAAGAGGCCGCGAGGATGGACCAACAGCGTTACGACGCGCGGCAGATGGTAGACCTCGAGATTGCCGAGGCGGCCCCCGGGGGATCACCCGCGAGCTTCGTCGAGCGACGAGGGGGAGGCCCATGCCGCAATGGGAGACGCCGTCAGAGATGTGGCTGATATTGATCGACCGCAACCAGTGGGGAAATTCAAGCGAGGTGGTCTGGGACCGCGCTCCACGCCCTCGAGGGCGCTTGCTTGCCAGGAACGATTGCTAGACGCGATCGCATCTTTCCGTCGGGCGCTCTCGACCCCGCTGAATCTCGACGCCCCCCGCGTCGTCGACATTGGCAGAGGAGGTTGTCCGCCGCGCCTGCTGGGCCAGAGGTCGGTCCATCTTGTTCGCCCCGTGGGCAACGGCGCCCGAGCCCCGCCAGGGGCTTCCCGCGTTCCTGCTTGGAGGGCCAAGGGGCTCATTTGAGCTGGCGCCCCAGCGCGAGCTCCTGTGCCCGCGCGCAGCATTGGGGGGCGGGCGGCGTCGGCGCCGGCGCGGGGGCCACATTCTACGCGGATCATATTACGGATGAACTTATCCAAGGACGAGGGCCTGAACCATCGGGCAGGGGGGGGGGGGCGCGACATTTGGCGGCGCTGGTGCAGGTTAGTCGCGGAAAGCCAGCTTCCTCCCTGGGCGTCGTCAGGGCGGGGCCCAGCGGGGGCGAGCGGGCTGCCTTGGCGCGGCCATTTGGAAAAGGGGGGCGTGGAACAGCGTCGTCGTTTTCACTCGGGCCCCATCGCGTCTCTCCGGGCAATTCGGCAGACGCGCTCGCGTGCTCGGCGGCTGACCGACGGCGCGAGGATCGCTGCAGATTCAAAGGCTAATGGAGTTCAAGCAGGTTTGGCAGGGCCCGGCATTATTTCTCTTTCTCCTGCGCGCGAGGTTTCGAGAGGAGCGAGGCGCCCGGCCATCTCCACCACCGTTCAGCGCGCGCCCCTCCCAGGCATGGGGGGCGGGGTCGCCCGCCGCGGCCGCGCGACGGAGCGCGGTGAGTTCCTGCCGCGGGCGATGCAAATGGGTTCAGGGGCGGGGGGGGCCGAGGACCACGACCGGGGGGCACGGCCCCGGGGTGCAAAAAGTGTCTGCGGCCATGGGCAGATTCCCCCGTTCGCAGACGAACTTCGGCTCCGTCGTCTGAGACGGCGCCAATCCTAGATCAGACCCCCCAGCGCCGCAGGCAAGTGCGCCTCAGCGGGGCCCCCAGCTTGCACGAGGACTGGGCGATCCACCCACAGGCCAGCCCGTTGTCGCGGCAGGTTCTCGAGGACCTCCAGTTTGCCCGTGCCCAGTCGGAATAGTTCGCTGACCTCGCCCCCGATGATTTCCCCTTCCTGGGCCGATTCTTTTCGAGAGATTTCGATGGTTGGGCGAGGCTTGACGCCGCGATGATCAGGGCGAGTTACTCCTCTCAAGCATTCGCCCCGCCGTCGAGGCCCAGATTGGCGCCCGCTGATGTTGCCCCGCAGGCGGACGAGGCGGGGGGGGGGGCTTCTCGGGGGAATTCAGACGCTGTGTTCGAGATGCGGACGGACACATGCACGCCGACACTTTCACGAGCATGAAGGCCTTAGGTAGCGCTCGCAAAGTACGGGGCGAGGATGCCTTTCCCACGGTCACATGCCAGTGCGTTCGACGCCTCCAGGTTCTCAGCACTCGGGGAAATGCGCAGAGACATGCGACGCGATCGCGCGGCAGCAACGGGCAGCGCGATTGGACGAAGCAGCGCTGCAGCAGGGGGGGTGGCGCATCCCTCCGCACTGGATGGCCCAGCGCACAGCTTCGCGGCTCAAGAGCCACGGGAACTGCAGCTCCATATCCGCCCCCGCTGCGTGCTGAGCGAGTCCGTTATGTCTCTGCCTCGGGCCCGACCTCGCGATGGAGGGCGGCAAAGAAACCGCAGCTGATCAGGAATCGCAAGGCGCAGGGCGAAGCAGCAGAAGGCGCAGCAGCGCTTCCCCGCAGAGGGCCCAGCCGGGCGACTTGGCAGACGACGCAGGAGACGAGGCGCAACAGGTCGAGGGGGCCTTGCGCGCGCGAGGCATACAGCAGGCGATCGCGCACTTGCTCGAGATGGCGCGCATGTGCGCACAGCAGCTCGGGGGGCTCGCGGCGTCTGATTGGATATGTCTCATCATGCCGACCATCTACACCACCATCGCGGCGACGCACGCCGCGGGCAAGATGCGCGCCGAAGCGACAACCATCGCAGCGGCGAAACCACTCCTGCCCCCCCCCCCCCCCCTCTCATTTGCACATTCGGCGAGGCGCGTTCGAGACGATGGTCGAGTCAAACAAGCTGAAAACGGAGGGGGCAGCGAGCTTCGACCCCGTGACTTGTCCTCCGAGAAGTTCAGCTTGAACTGAGCGGCGGCGGAGCTTGGCTTGGTAGTCAGGCGCTTCCGCTGCGCGCAGTGCTGCGGCGGGGGCTGCGCGCGGCTGCTGTCCGCGATCACCGGCGACGTGGCGGCGCCGCTCTTGGACGCGGGGCGGGGTCAGCCGACGGGGCGGGCGCTGAGCAAGCCCGAGGTGGACCAGTCCATTGTCCAGCTTTGCATCATCGCGGGAGACATGCTCAAGCTCGGGGCCGCCCCCCCAGGAGCACTTGGACACGTTGGCACAGAGGCTGATCGACAAGGCCAAGTCGGGCGACGTCGGAGGCAAGGGCGGCAAGGAGAAGTAAAGGATTTGGCGACAGGGCGGCCCTGCTCTCACGGGCCCTGGCGAGAGAGGAGATGGCAAGGTTTGCGAGCGGCGCGTGACGTTTTGTTTATGGGCAGCTTTTCTCGCTGCATTTGCCCTCGCATGACCATCGACCGCCCCGACTTGAGCTGCGTCGGGACATCGCTGGGCGCGGCAAAACAGGCGAACTACGATGGCAAGGGCAACGGCTCGACGCCCCTTCGACCCGCCCAGCGTAAGGGGCGTCAACAGCGGGACTGACACCTTGTCTCACTTCATGCTGCCATCTGCGAGTTCAGAGAGTCCAAGCGTGCCCAGTCGTTCTTGTCAAGCCGTTCTCCGCGGAACGGGCTGTCTTCCTGCGCCAGTGAGCGACAGGTGCGAATGCCTGTCCCGTAGGCCTTGATCGGTCAGAGTCGAGTGTCTGTTCTTGGGCCCGAGCTGTTCGATTTCGGCCACCTCCTGTACCTCGGTATCACCCTCGCCCCTGCGAAGGCTGAGATCTGGGGGCCCGTGCCTGACCTGTGGCCAGGCGCGGCTCATGGCCTGGGGGCGAATTGCATTCGTGTTCCCATGGGCTGGTCTCGATTGAGCTTGTTCTGGTCAGCGGGAATACTTGTCTTGGGCATTGGGATTCTGCAGATCGCCAGCGCTGGTCCTCTGTGCACTGGGCAGTCGTTCGTTGGGGCGCATGTGCGTCGTCGACACCGTCGCCCTTGACGTCGACAGCGTCGGGCCCTTGAGCCTGCCGACGCCCGCCTCGCACGACTTCGAGGCTCCGTTTTCAGTTGCTTGCCTCGCCACCCCCCACCCCCCCGCGGGGCCTGCCCTGCGCGGTCGGGCCGGACGTCGAGGCCGAGGCTCGCAGCCCCGCCCCCCTCTCGCTGCGCCGCGCCGCCCCCGCTTTCCCTTCTCCCAGGATGCGCAGGCCGAACCCTAGGGGTTTTTGGGAACCCGCGCCCACCCTCCGCTGCGCTTGTGCCCTTCCTCTGCATTGGCCTTTCCCTCTCGCCTCGTCGCCCCCCCCCCCCCCCTCCGCGCGGTGCCCCTCTCGTCCGTCGCCAGCTGGGGCGCGGGTTCTTCCTTGGGGCGGGGCGGGCACCTGGGCGGCCTGCCCGTCGCAGGCAGCGACGCGGGCTCGGCTCTGCGGGGCCAGGAGGGCCCCCCCCCCAGCCCCCGAGGGATTGCACGATCGGCGACTGCCTGTTTACGGATGTGCGGCAGGCTGCACGGCGCGCGCTACTCACGACCTCATCGCACGCGTTCGAGGATCATTCGGGCTAGGGCTTTGTTTGCGCGTCTCCACGCGCGAGCACGGGACGGCCCAGATCACTCGCAATGTCTTATTGTTATTGCCATCAGTATTCTGATTATTCTTATTATTATTATTATTACTATTATTCTTCTTGCTCTTGATTATTACTCGTATTATTATGGAACTTATCTTCCTCATCCTCCTCGCCCTCCTCCTCCTCTTGCTCTTCCCCCTCCTCTTCTTCCTCTTCCTACTCCTCTTCCCCCCCTCTTCTCCTCCATTGTTTGTTTCTTGCGAACAATTTTCCTTGTCGCACACCGAGGCGCGCCGGGAGAGCGGACCGGGCGTTTCGCGTGAGACGTTTTCGCCGAGTTTGATCCATAAAGTGGGTTGTTGCAAGAGCTTCACGGTTGGAGGGCGGCTTGTTTTCAAATTGCAGTTATCGCTTTCGCGCCTCGTGCATTCAATGCAAGGGCTTCACGGGTGGAGGGTGGGCCGTTTTCGAATGGCGGTGTCGCCTGATCACCGCGCACGAACAGTTGTAGAACATTGTGGCAGCCTCACGGGTGGAGAGCGGCGGGTTTTCAAAATGCAGTCTGGCGTTGCGCACATCCGTTATCAAACTGGCAACAATCTCGCACATGGAAAGCGATTCCTTTTTCAACATGTGGTTTTCGCCGTAGCGCCGCGCATATTTGCTTCAAGCGTCTACAGCTGTTTCATTGGTTTTCACCGATAACGATCCACAAAATGGCGTTTAGCATGATGTCGGACTGCCTGGGCACAACCGCCAATTTGATTCGCGGGGTTTAAACCCCAAGAATGGCGTGCTGGCGCGATTCAGGACCGTCATGGCGCAACAAGAACGGTGATTCGCGGCGTTGAAGTCCCAGGATTGGTGTTTTGGCACTGTTCAGGGTTTTCCTACGTTCGTTTTCCAACA